GTTCTCGTGTTTCTGACCCCCATTTTTCCTGGCTTTTCTGATCCCATTTTCCCACCTTGTCCTGTGTTTCTGACCCCCATTTTTTCTAATCCCATTTTCCCAGATTTTCCCATATTTCTGATCCCCATTTTCCTCTTCTCCCTGGCTTTTCTGATCCCATTTTTCCGGCTTTTCCCGTGTTTCTGACCCCCGTTTTTCCCCTTCTGCATTTCTGCTCCCGTTTTCCCATTTTCCCGCTTTTTCTGGTCTCCTTTTCCCGGATTTCCTGACCCCATTCCCGGTTTTTCCCAGATCCTGTACAATGGGCAGCCGATCTCCAAGCTGGGCTGCGGGGCCGAGTTCAGCATGGTCATGGACTGCAAGGGGAACCTGTATTCCTTCGGGTGTCCCGAGTACGGCCAGCTGGGTACGGGATTTGGGATCATCCCGTGGGAATGGGATTTGGGATCATCCCATGGGAACGGTATTCCTTCGGGTGTCCCGAGTACGGCCAGCTGGGTACGGGATTTGGGATCATCCCATGGGATTTGGGATCACCCCATGGGAACCTGTATTCCTTCGGGTGTCCCGAGTACGGCCAGCTGGGTACGGGATTTGGGATCATCCCGTGGGAATGGGATTTGGGATCACCCCATGGGATTTGGGATCACCCCATGGGAACCTGTATTCCTTCGGGTGTCCTGAGTACGGCCAGCTGGGTACGGGATTTGGGATCCATGGGATCACCCCGTGGGATTTGGGATCATCCCATGGAACGGGATTTGGGATCACCCCATGGGAACGGTATTCCTTCGGGTGTCCTGAGTACAGCCGGCTGGGTACGGGATTTGGGATCCATGGGATTTGGGATCACCCCATGGGATATTGGTTGGTTTGGGATGACCCCACAGGATCGGGGCAGTCTGAGATCACCCCATGGGATGGGGTGGTTCAGGATGACCTAACAGGATTAGGACAATTCAGGATGACCCCATGGGATCAGGGTGGTTCAGGATGATCCCATGGGATCAGGGTGGTTCAGGATGATCCCATGGGATCGGGGTGGTTCAGGATGATCCCATGGGATCAGGGTGGTTCAGGATGATCCCATGGGATCAGGGTGGTTCAGGATGACCCCATGGGATCAGGGTGGTTCAGGATGA